TGGTGGTGCTGGATGCTTATATCCTGCCATCAACATACCGCATCTTCCCTCTGCTCTTCAAAAACATAGTCAAACTTTGCGACCATGCTAGATAGTTCTGACTATTAAATAGAGAGGTGGTGATTTTATGACTAGGGTTGGGGTTATCAGTCATAGTAGTAGGTATAATGGAACTCTCACTCTGAGGTGTCTGAGAAGTAGTAGATACACTGGTAGAATCTGCCATGGATACTGTATGACTGAACCCTTAACAAAACTAGTGCCAATCACAAACCCAGAAGGTGGAGGAATACAAGCACAATAGTAACTAGAAAAACATAAAGAATTAAGAGTCTTGTTTTTTTTTTTTGTTTTTTTTTTTAGGTCAAAGCTTTTTAAAGAATGTTTAAGGAACAAACATTACAGATGGAAGACGAAGTCCAACAGAGGCTGGCTGACAGAGGTAGAGGGCTAAGGAGGAGCGCCCGATAGGGACCAAGGAGGGCAGAGGGGCTGCTAATAGGGGCCAAGAAAGCCAGAGGGATTTTCAACAAGCCCTTAGAAGGCTGGAGGGACTGCCGACAGACCCCAAGAAGAGCTGAGAGATTGCCGTTTGAGCCTAAGAGGCTGTTGGGTAGCCTAGGAGGAGGGCTGAAGACCTGTACAAGGGGGTCAGAGCTTTGGGTTGACTGTGGGTGGCTGGGTGAGAGGCCAACTGGACTGTAGAAGAGAAAGGATTGCCGACGACTGTATCTGAGAAAGGGATTGCCGGCAAAAGAGGAGCAATGGAGGGATGGGCTAGGGTTTTGGCTTTGATACCATGTAAGTTTAGAGAAGAAAAGAGATTAGGGTATGATTGTGATATCATTCTCTTTTATATTAATGAAGATTAATAATTACAAGGGAACCCTAAGGCAAAGAATAATTACAATAGAATAATAACCCAACTAATATATATTATTCTAACAATTTGTTACCTTTATCAATGATTTTTCTTGTACTACTTGGGTGTATCTCATGAAAGAAAAAAGTGAGGTTTTTTCTGTGTTTCAAAATTTTCGTAAAATGATTTGTATTCAGTTTGGGGCAATTGTCAAAATCGTGCATTCTGATAATGAGGGTGAATACATCGATTCGGGGTTAGAGAGCTATTATGGCATTATACATCAGACATCTTACACCAATATCCCTCAACAAAATGGGGTTGCAGAGCGCAAGAATCGTCGTCTTCTTGATATGGCTCGCTGCATATGTTTTTCTATGAATCCTATTGGGGCGAGGCCGTTCTCACTGCAACTTATCTCATTAATCGTCTTCCTACCCAGGTTTTACAAAAAACCAGCTCCACTTCAAGTTGACCAAAAATAAGATTTTTCTTCCCCTTTTTGACTTTTCTTGAAGTCATCTTTCAGATTTTATAACTTTTTTGATTCTCAACGGTTTTACTTCATTCTTTCGCTAATCTATTCACCTTGCTTCTTACTTCGTCCTACGCTACCTCGCCTTCTCACTCCTTCCCGTAATGGTGGTTTCAGCATGAAGAAAGTTTCCCAAAAGCTGACTTCTAAAATTCCAAAAACTTACCTCATTTGTTTTATCTTCTCCTTCTTCTAGCTTTCTTCTTCTCTTTCTTTACTTATAACATGTTGTGGAGCGTGGTTCTAGGTGGTAACAGAGCTAGCGATGGTGGTGGTGGTAGTTCGGCGATGGCAGCGGAGCTCGCGGTGATGGTGGTCATTGAGCTTGATGGTTGTGGTCATGGAACTTGATTGTGAAGGAGGTGGTTTTGGTGTTGAAAGGTGGTGGTGATGGTGATGCTCACAGAGGTGGCAATGGAGTTCAGTGGGGGTGAAGTTGGTGGCTCGGTGGTAGTGTTGGTGAAGAGATGTATATATATATATATATATATATGAATATATAGCAGATAGATAAATATTTAATAGAGAGAGGGAAAGATACTGAGAGAGAGTCGAGAGAGAGTTGTGGGAGATGTTGAGGATATGGGATGATGATGCATATGGATATACATATGTATATATTATATAAATAGATAGCTAGGTAGACATATATAGGGAGAGGATGAGAGACAAAGGTAAGGGAGGAGAGGGCGTGGGGTGTTAGCATTATTAGAATTATTTACCTTTTCTTTATTCAGTAATTAGTTGGAGTTTAGTTGTAGTATTCCTTTCTTACCTAAAAGGCTTCTTTTGTAAGCTTCCTATTTTTCTAATATAAAAGGCTGTGATAATCTAATCACTCCCTAAGTTTGATTTCTCCTAAAATAAACATGGTATCAGAGCCTTGAGGCTCCTATCTCACCACAGTACCTCCTTTAGCCACCCACCACCACTCCAACAGCCACCCATCCTCCTCCAAGCCTTCTCAAGCCTATGTATACCGTGAAACACAAGGCAGATGGTTCGATTGAGCATTATAAAGCTTGGCAAGGGGTTTTACTCAAACCTATGGAGTTTACTATGAAGAGACATTTGCTCCAGTTGCAAAAATGAATTCAGTTCAGATCTTCTTTCTCTTGCAGCTAATCTTGATTGGCCACGTCACCAGTTTGATGTGAAGAATGCTTTCCTACATGGTGATCTAAAAGCGGAGGTGTACATGGACATTCCTCCAGGCTTTGAAGATCTTCAGATAGAGGGTAAGGTGTGTAGGCTTCAAAATCATTGTATGGTCTCAAATAGTCCCCTAGAACTTGGTTTTAGAGATTTACACATGCAATGCATAAATATGGCTTCAAACAGAGTCAAGTTGATCACACTTTATTTGTCAAACATTCCTCACATGGTAACATTACAGCTCTCATTGTATATGTGGATGATATAGTGCTTACAGGCGATGATGTTGAGGAAGTTCCTCAGTTGAAGAAATATTTGGCAAGTGAGTTTGAAATAAAAGACTTGGGGAACTTGAAGTATTTCCTGGGTATTGAGGTTGCCCTGTCTAAGGATGGGATATTCATTTGGCAAAGGAAATATATTCTTTACCTATTGAAGGAAATTGAGATGCTTGGAAGTAAAGCTTGTGATACACCACTAGAGCCAAATCAAAAACTTTGTAATGATAGTGGGGGAGCTATTGTTGACAGGCAGAGATATCAGAAACTTGTGGGAAAGCTCATTTATTTATCTCATTCTCATCCCGATATTGCTATTGCTGTTTCTGTCAGTATAGTTAGCCAGTTCATGCATGCTCCTCATGAGGCACAATTGGATGTTGTTATGCAAATCCTTAGGCACTTGAAATCTTCGCCTGGAAAGAGTCTGTACTTTTCCAAGCATGATCATCTTAGGGTGGGAGCTTATACAGATGCTTGTTGGGCAAGATCAGTAATTGATAGAAGATCCACATCGGGATATTGTACCTTTGTTGGGGGCAATTTTGTTAACCTGTTGGATCCACATCGGGATATTGTACCTTTGTTGGGGGCAATTTTGTTAACCTGTTGGAGCAAGAAACATAATGTGGTAGCAAGATCTAGTGTAGAGGTAGAGTTTAGACTTATGGCACAAGGTGTGTGTACTCTTGTGGATTAAGTTGCTATTGAGTGGTTTGGGAATTGATCATACGGACTCCAGGCGACTATATTGTGATAACAAGGCTGCTATCAACATAGCTCATAATCCCGTTCAACATGACCGGACGAAACGTGTTGAGATTGATCGTCACTTCATTAAGGAGAAACTCACTAGTGACACCATATGTACTCCTTTCGGGAAGTCTGGCAAAAAATTGACAGATATTCTCACTGAGGGAGTTGGGAGTAAATCATTTCGTGATATTCTTGGCAAGCTGGGAATGAGAGATATTTTTGTACCAGCTTGAGGGGGAGTGTTAGCATTATTAGAATTATTTACCTTTCCTTTATTTTGTAATTAGCTGGAGTTTAGTTTTAGTATTTCCTTTCTTGCCGAAAAGGCTTCTTTTGTAAGCTTCCTATTTTTCTAATATAAAAGAGTGATAACCTAATCAGTCCCTAAGTTTGATTTCTCGTAAAATAAACTGTAGAGGATTTAATGTATAAAGAGAAATAGAGAATTGTATTATTGATTGATATATATTGATTTCTATTACAATGATTCATGATTCCTATATATAGAAGAGGGTGAGTGTGTAGTAGGTAAGGAGTAGGTGAAGTGGAGGTGGTAGTGGTGTAGTGGGTTAGGTTTAGTGGAGTAGGTGAGGTGGTAGTGGTGTAGTGGGTTAGGTTTAGTGGAGTAGGTTTAAGTGGGTGAAGTAGGTGGAGAGTAGGTGGATTTTAACATAAACATAGGGCTCTGTAAGCGAGGAACGTGGGGAAGGGGAAACTTGGGGAGAAAGATGGGATTTTTGGTATAGAAAATGCAATGTCTCAGTGTAATTCGATCTGGAAAAATTGAGAAAAAATATAATAAAAATATCAAAATGTTCATAAAATAATATTGGATAATAATATAAAATTAAAATATTTTTTTTAATAAATTTTTAGTATGAAAATTATACAGACTATTAAATTCAAAATAATGTTGATAATTATACACAAATTTTGAAAAATATATTATTTTTATTATATAAAAATACGGGGTTTCGCAAGGATGATTTTACAGACGTCTAGTGTTATGGTCCATGTGGGGGTTTGGCAACTTCACCTGCCAATGGCAGCTGATGTTACCATCTCGCAATCTTCTTATCGACACTATTTGGTTTGCATCTTCACCATCCTACATAGTTGCGAAGCTGAAAGACAACCCTTAGGTGATGAGAGTTTGCTGATACTTTTTATTGTGTACTGTTGCTTTCTTTGTTACAATGGCTGTATGTGGACTGATTTAATCAGCTTTGTCATTTCTGCATCTTTCATGCTGACCTTCTTTAAGGTAGGTATTGGAGTGGAGTCTGTGCATACAAAAAAGGATTCCTCATATTTTAAGTGTTGTGATATATTTATTTCCTGGTGAAGTTTCCATGGTTTAATTTCGTATTTTCTTAAAAGGTTACTTAAAGGTTATTACTTCTTGTGATTATAGGTGGGCGGTTTAGGGGATGTCGTGACTGGTCTCGGTAAAGCATTACAGAAGAGAGGACATCTTGTTGAAATTGTTCTTCCTAAGTATGATTGCATGCAATATGAATGTATTCGTGACTTAAGGGTATGTCCATTGTTTGAAAACATGATCATCATATTTTTAAGGAACTGATATTCATGGAACTTTGTAATTACCCAATTGCTTAACATGTTTAGGCCCTGGATGTGGTAGTAGAGTCATACTTTGATGGTCGCCTTTTCAAAAATAAGGTCTGGGTTGGCACTGTTGAAGGTAAGACAATATTTCACACACACACACACACACACACACATGCATGTTTGTGCACATTTCAGTTTTTGATTTTATTATAAATTGATTTTTGCAGGCCTTCCTGTCTATTTTATTGAGCCTCATCATCCTGGTAATTTTTTTTGGAGGGGAGAGGTTTATGGGGAGCATGATGACTTTAAACGTTTCTCATTCTTTAGCAGGGCAGCCCTTGAGTTGCTTTTTCAAGCTGGCAAGAAACCAGACATAATTCATTGCCATGATTGGCAGACAGCTTTTGTTGTATGGATGATTACATATTATTCTACTCTTTTCTTTCTTTAATGCATGACACTCATTTTTTTGCAATTCAACTAAAATATTTTACGGTCTTTTTAGGCACCCCTTTATTGGGATCTATATGCACCAAAAGGATTAAATTCAGCTAGAATATGCTTTACGTGTCACAATTTTGAATACCAAGGGAGTGCTCCTGCTTCAGAATTGGCATCCTGTGGTCTTGATGTTCACCAGCTAAATAGACCAGATAGGATGCAAGACAACTCGGCACATGACAGGGTCAATCCTGTTAAGGTAGATAGATTATTCCTCCTTGATAACCAATTAACTGGTGGTTTTTCTCTACCTCTTCTTTTTTACACGTTCCTGTTGTCTTTTAGGGTGCAATTGTGTTCTCTAACATTGTGACAACAGTTTCACCAACCTATGCACAAGAGGTGCGGACTGCTGAGGTATGGAAATGTCCTGTAGTTGCACTTTACTATGTTTTATTGGGTTAATTACAATTGGCACCCCTGCACTTTCATCAAAATCTTACTCTGGTCCCTTTACTTTCAATTGTAATAGTCAATTCCTTATACTTATAGTTAAGTTGCAATGTCACCCTTTCGTCCATTTGACATTAATTAGGTCTATAGAACTGTCATTTGAGCCATATGTAGCATTTTTCTCGCCTCATTGGCACCCGTACACTTCCTCAACATCTGACTTTAGTCCTAGCACTTTCACCAAAATCTCACTTTGGTCCCTCCACTTTTTGATTTCCGCCATCCTTGTAGCGGTAGATGGACGAAAGGGTGATATTGCAATTTTGATTTAAAGTGTAAGAGGTTGACTGTCACAATGGAAAATGAAGGGGTACAAAGTGTAATTAAGCCTGTTCTGTTTTAAATTTATATAAGAATTCCTTTGTAGTTGCTTCTGTTTTCAGTCTTTAGCACTAGTAAGTAAGTGCTTTTTGATCGTCAACATCACCTCCAAGCGATTGATGAATGTAAATAATCCTTATAAATGTTTGCAAAGAAAATATTGAAGACAAAAGCAAAGAAAAATGCAAAAGAGTTACTTGAGGACAAGGAGTCCACCAAAAGAAGACCAAACAAAAAATTACCAGTCACATACAACTCTTCATCTCTAGAAATAGAAAACGAAGGAACCTTCTTAAATGGAGATGACATTGAAGCCCAAAAAGAAACATCAAGTGTAATATGCGGTGGCCTAACTATGATTGGAAGACCCTGACCTTATGGGAATTTAGTATCTTAATATGTCATTGTATGCTTGCAACAGTGGTGTATATTACTTGGAAAGAGAGGAATGCTCGCCTCCACCAGAATGACTACTGGGATAATAGAACTATACTCACAAAAGTGGTAGGTAATGTAAGGGGAAGGTTGTTTTCTATAGAAGGTATTAAGGGTAGTCAAATAGATGGCTTCAACACCAATGGACAGGCTTCTTCATTGGGATATGAAACGATATGGGTATGGTGATACAACAAAATCTAAAAAAATAGGATGCACATTTGCTGCCAGGATACATTGAAAGAAAATTATAATTTTTAGTTTTTTGTTGGTGCATATATTATATTATACATGAGCTCAAAGAATAGTGAGAAATCATTCTTTAGGAATAACATATTAATTGAAGAGACAATAGTCAGTTTACTCTTATTCTTCTTCTTCCCCTTTATTATTTTTATTATGACTACAGTGCATACGTTAATTTGATAAAATCTGAGAAAGTAGAGTCCTACTTAATCTCACTATAGTCTTCTTCGGTAAGAATAAGAAAATTTTGAATGTCTTTTCCTATACTTATTCTAATAGTTATACTTTAATAATATGCAAAAAATATTAGAATTTCAATTTCATAAGAGTATCCGATACTTCTTAAAATTAACATAAAGTATCAGATATGTTTAGGAAGTATCGGATATGTATCCGTGAGTATCCGAGGAGTATTAATATCCGATATGGAGACGACTCCCTTTTAGAAGTATTTGTGCTTTATAGCTCCCAAACATTCAGTATCCCCCGCCGGCAATCAATTAGGGTTCACACATGTATTTAGAAAATAAGACTAAAGACTAAAATGACACAGCTACACTTAGACACTAACACTTAACACTTTCTCTCAAGTTGGTACAAATATATCTCTTATACCCCACTTGCAACAAATTGGATGAAAGACCTTACTACTAAGACCTTTAATAAACAAATCAGCCAATTGATCTTCCGACTTCACAAAAAGCATACATATCAAAATCAAACCTTTATTCAATTTCACCTTAATAAAGTGTCGGTCAATCTCAATGTGCTCAGTCCTGTCATGTTGAACAGGATTATAAGCAATACTGATGGCAGCTTTATTGTCACAACACAGAGTCATAGAATCATCACAAACAATTTCTATATAACCCAACAAGGACTGAAGCCACATGAGTTCACAAGTACCATAAGCCATAGCTCGGTATGCTCCCTCTACACTAGACCAGGACACCACTGTTGCTTCTTGCTACGCCAAGTGACTAAATTTCCCCTACAAAAGAGCAAAACCACTATTTGCCACTGTTTGCTTCAAGCTCATCACCAAAACCACTCTCAAGGTCCCCCTCACCACAAATAACAGACCGCTGACTAAGAATGAAAAAAGATAACTCATGCTGATATGACATCATCTCATCCATAACACTACTCTTCCCCCAAGGATACGGCGGAGAAGATATAAAAAAGAACTTAGATTCACAGAAGATGACATCCATAATAACATATACTTTGTGAGTGCGAGGATCATAGCATTTGTAATCCTTCTGAGTAGCAGAATAGCCAACAAAGGCACAATGCACAACTTTAGGATCAAGCTTCGCACGAGTACAAAGTTGCAAATGAACAAAACAAACACACCCAAAAATCCGAGGAGAAAGAGAAGACGTGGGATAAGTCACAGGAAGAAGTGCAAGAGGAATTTGGAATTGGAAGACACTAGAGGGCATATGGTTGATGAGATAAGCAGCAGTACGAACAGTATCACCCCAAAAAGACTTGGGGACATTCATGGTAAACAAGAGAGAACGAGCAACTTCAAGGAAATTACCATTCTTGTGCTCCACAATTCCATTCTACTGAGGAGTGCCAACACAACTAGTTTGGTAAAGAATGCCATGCTCTTCAAGATATGCTTGAAAATCACCATCAACATACTCAGTTCCATTATCATTGCGCAAAATTTTAATAGTAGCATTAAAGAGATTGCTTGCCATTTTATGAAAAAGGCAAAAGAAAGAAAAAACCTCACTTTTAGTTCGAAGTAGATAAACCCAGGTCATATGGAAATAACAATCAATAAAAGTGACGCACTAACAATATCCAGAAGTAGACACCACAGGGGAAGGTCCCCATACATCAGTATGAACAAACATAAAAGGAAAAGTACTTCTTTTATTAATTGAAGGATAAAAAGTACGTTTATGCTTAGCAAGTTCACAAGCATCACAAACAAAATTATTCCTAGAACAATCTTGAACTAATGAAGGAAAAAGCCTTTCTAAAATACTAAAGGATGGATGACCCAAATGACGATGCCACGGATTAAGGAGATGGAGAGAAAAGCCAGTAGTGCACTGAAGAGCCAGAGTGGAGGACAACAATAATGTGGGAGAAATAGTATCCACAGAGTACAGGCCACCATGCGCTCTACCACTGTTAATTGTTTCACCGTAGCCAGTTCCTAAAAGACACAATGAGTAGAAAGGAATGTCACTGAGCAGTTTAAAGAGGTAGTACAACTACTCATAGTAAGTTGGTAGAAAAATTAGGAACATGAAGCACAAAAGAAAGAAAAAGTAAAGATGGGCAATGAACATAATCTTTGCCGGAGCCAGAAGATAAAGTGCCATCAGCCACTCTAATCTTATCCTATCCAGAACAAGGAGAATAAGAATAGAAAAGACTAGAGGCACCTGTCATGTGGTTGGTCAATAATCCAAGAAGGCGATGAGGATGTACTAAGGGCACTAGCAGGAATACTTGTGTGGGCAAAATTGGAAGAAGCAAAAGTGGAAGGAACTGTGATAGATGGAGAATCAAGTCGAGTCATCAAATGCCTGAGAGTGTATAACTCATCATAGGAAAGAGTACTGGGCTTACCAGAGGTATTGGTAGCAATCTCAGACACATGCGCTTGTGGACGAGCTGTACTACCATGGCCATGACCCCTAGTCGGACAACCATTCAATTTCCAACAATGCTCGCGATCATGTTGATCTTTCCCACAATAATCACACTTCAATCAATCTTGATCAACAAGGGGACCCTTACGAGCAAACGGAACTAAACAAGGCTTAAGATCACGGGTGGATGGAGCAAAAACCAAAGCAAAATGATCCTGAATAGGGGAATGAACCATGGCACTACGTCGACTTTCCTCTTGCTGAACAAGTGCATAGGCCTCGCGTAAGGCGGGGAAAGGAGAACGACCCAACACTTGAATGCGAATCTGATCATACTATAAATTAAGGCTAGCAAGGAAGTCATACACATGCTCTTTCTCCACAGTCTGCTGAAATAAAGTTGCATCCTTGGAATACACAGCCTAGAAACTTTGATAATAATCCAGTTCTTACTACAAGCTACTTAACTTAGCGTAGTACACTGCAAGTGATCTGTCCTTTTGATCCAAACCCCAAAGCTTCTTTCTCAACTCATACGCCTATGCATCATTACCCTGTTGAGAGTACATCTGGGAGGCAGTGGTCCATATTTTATGAGCAGTATCTAGGAGAAGAAAAGACCGACTAATAGTGGGCTGCATAGAGTTAATGAGCCAAGTCATAACCAAAGCGTTCTCAAAAACCCAAAGCGTTCTCAAAAACCCATTGATAGAGGGCTGTATTTTTTGAAAATTCCCTTGTTAGCGTGTCTATGTCGTATTCATGTCGTGTCACGTGTCCGTGTTTGTGCTTTTTAGCCTTTCCACCTAGCTTATGATAATCACTCACCGCTGCCTCCCTATCAATGATGACACAGGTCTCCAACTTCTCCTCCTCGGACCACCTGTGACTTCAAAAGGCATATTCTGTGGTGTAGGGTTTGAGGGTGAACTTAGATTGGTTAATATTGTTTACTTGTCTTGTGTATTAAATAAAAAACTGTGCATGTTGAACGTTTTATGTGTCATGTCCAAGCACCAATTTTTTATCCTTGTTAGTGGAGCTCCCAGTTTGATAATTGGAAGACAGTCAAATCCAACACCTAGAACCTCCCTCCCTAGAGTGAGGCCTTTTCCAGGGGAAAACAAACCCGTGAGGAGCCGTGGTGATGCTTCGGCAATAACCCGGCCTAAAGCGGACAATATCACTCTGGCTGGGGACGTTACAGTAGGGTTTGAGGGTGAACTTAGATTGGTTAATATTGTTTACTTGTCTTGTGTATTAAATAAAAAACTGTGCATGTTGAACGTTTTATGTGTCATGTCCAAGCACCAATTTTTTATCCTTGTTAGTGGAGCTCCCAGTTTGATAATTGGAAGACAGTCAAATCCAACACCTAGACATGCGCCTAATGCCCTTTCCTGAGTTTTAGATTTTAGATTTTTTGACATAATACATGCAAGTTCAAATTTGCTAAGATTAGTGGAGATTATTTCTTCTCATATGCCCCAAATTTGCCAAGATTTGTCAGATAATACCCTTTAAATTCATAAGTATTTGAAGCTTTACCTTCCAAACTGGACATTACATGAAAAATTGCAAAAACTTGGATTTGGACTAGTTAGTTGACCGAATTTTAATTCATCAAAATTTGGACACAAAAAGATTGGCCAAAAAGTTGTAAAGTTTGGAATATTAAAAAATATATATATATATAGATTTAGAATTTGGGAAAATGGTTTTTCAATATTTTTATTATTTCAGTTCAAAAGTAGGCTAGATTTCTAATAATTCGGATGAAATTCAGAAAAAAGTTTGTCAAAAAATAATACGAACTAAAATTCAGATTTTCAAACTTGGCGATGAAGTAAAAAAAATTGGAAAGCAGTATATCTTGGTTCAGTTCATGTTCCAGTGTCATTTATTTTTTTTGAGGGTTTACTTACAAGTTCTGTTTATGTTAACAGCAAGGACGAGGCCTTCATGTGACCCTTAATTCTCACGCTAAAAAGTTCATAGGAATTTTGAATGGAATTGATACTGATGTATGGAATCCTGCAGCTGATACTTCTCTCAAAGTTCAGTACAGTGCCAATGATCTTCAGGGGAAAGCAGAAAACAAAGAAGCTATAAGAAGGCATCTTGGTCTTTCTTCTGCAGATGTCAGGCAGCCATTGGTAATCTTGTTTCCGTAGTAATTTCTTTTCTTTGCAATATTTTAATTTCAAAATACCTGCAGAATTAAGCGGTGTTTTAACTTTTATGATACTTACCATGACATACTGTATCATAATTTAGTTTGTGATGTTTGGAGCTGTGTTATTCTTTTAATACCATGTATTTATGAGAGAACTCTATACCTGGAAACTCAAGTGGAAACTATGTATGTGGTGCATCAACCATTGAAATGTTGTATTCTTAATCTCAAGTGATATTTTGAGTTGGCAAGTGTTATGCTGTCTATGTCAAATGTTGATGAGTACTGTGCTGTCTATGTCAAGTGTGTGTTAGAAACTTTACAATACAGAAATTAAAATGTCTACTTGTGTCTGTCTTCGTTAAACTAGTCATTTTGCTTCCCGTTTGTATGCAGATTGTGTACTCATATTTACAAAAGATAGTTGAAACGCTAACATCTATAGAATTTTATGATCTTGAATATTTTTATTTAATAATTGTTTATATATATTTAATTATTTATTGCATTTTCCCTTCTGTTTGGTGGAAAGTAGGCTGTAGAAGTTGCAGAAACAAGATATTTTAGTATCTTTTTAGCTTTTTACGTAAAGATGTGTAAAAAAATAGAGAGTGATGCGACAACTTATAGTGACTTTTTGGCTAAAACATGTAGTTGCCAAATGAGGCCTAAGTGGGATTATTATTGTTAATTGTACTATCACCATTGTTATGATTAATATTTTGTGGGATAGGGTTGAAGAGCATTTGTGGGTGGTTTTTTTTTTTTTTTTTTTTTGTTGCTGAGAAGTATAGGATTTTCAACAAGCTTGATTTGATGGTTTTGGATATATGCTTATTGGAGAATTTTATGGAGATTTTTGGTGGAAGAGAAGTATGGGGATTTGTGGGAAGGGTCTTGTTTAAAAGAATTGATAAGGACTGGGGCTTTTTAGGAGCAGGAAGGTTTCACAAATTGTTATCTCACTAAAGTAGGAATTTAACAGTCTATTTGATTTTGTCATGATTCATGATGTTTTGTTTGGTTAGATGGCTTTCAAGTAAGTATTTTTGGCTATATTTTAGGTTGGTGCTATCCATTCTATTATTTACGCTCCGTTTGTTTTGTTGGAAAACATTTTTCAGAATTTTTTTTTTTTTTTTTTTTATTTTCTAGCGTTTAGTACAATGAAAAACGAAAGTCAGCGAAAAACATTTTCTATGGTTAACGAAAAATAAGCTTATTTAGGCATAAAATGTTTTCCAGTTTTTTGAAGGCAAAAAACGTTTTTCGAACTAAAGTCTCACCATTGTCACCCCACTACCACCTCTACGCTTATCTCCACCACTATCATCACCATTGCCATTATGAATATGTATTTTATATTAGTGTTATTTTGTATCTTAATTAAGGACAGTTTAGTCTTATTCTTGTAACTTGGATATTAGGGTTTTGATAGTTTAGTATATATATTGTACTTAGCCTTTGGTTTTATTATTCAATACACAACAACTTCACTTCTCTTATATGGTATCAGAGCTATACCTTAGTAGCCTTCGCACATAGGATTGCATCTATATGTCTGTCTTTTTCCACTTTGCAAACGTATGATAGCAGACCAAGAGTTGTGTATCTCCAGCCATCAGAACTGCTACGTGTGATTCGTAATCTATTCGCGACCCATCTCTAGGTTTGTAGCCTTCTAGCGACCTCTCTCCAGTCCTTGCAACTACTTTTGCCAGCCTTCTGCAGACATCATAGCCTTCAAACGAAGATTTCTCCAGCTATTTGCAACATGCTAGTTCTCTCTAGCCACTAGCAATCTATTCGGGTCTTCGGGTTGAAGGGTTTAACCCATCTCTCTGTGGGTCTTTGCCCTAGTGATCAATCGGCTCTGTTTTGGTCTCTGTTCTACGCTTAAAGTTTGGTCCTCCAGTTTGTTGGGTATTTTGGGCTGGTTATAGTGTTTTTTTTTTTCCTTTTCATCTTGCGATATGTCTATTGATAAGATACATGCTGTTAATATCAGGTTGGATGGTTCCAACTATTCATATTGGTCTCATGTTATGAAAAAAATTATAGTAGGCAAAAGGAATGTGGGGTTGCAAATGGGTTTATAAGGTAAAAACTCTTGTTGATGGTTCTTTGGAACGGTATAAAGCTCGTTTGGTTGCACAGGGATTCTCTTAGGAATATGGGTTTGATTATGACAAGACTTTTGCCCCCGTTGCCCAGATGACTACTGCTGATTGGCACTCTTTTCTCTGTTCTTGCTACGCACCAATGGCCTTTGTTTTAGTTAGATGTTAAGAATGCTTTTCTTAATGGGCATCTTCCTTAAGAAGTGCATATGCGTCCTACACCTGGACTCTTCCACCCTTCCGGTGTTGTTTGTCGTCTTCACCGTGCTCTCTATGGTCTCAAGCAGTGCCCTCGTGCTTGGTATGAGCGATTTTGTCATCTTTTAGGTTTCACCTCAGCAAGGTACTTTTGATCAAGAGTACACAACTTGAAAATTTGCAGGGGGGAAAAAAAACAAAAAGAGACAGCAATATAACGAACAAGATTTTTGAAGTAAAACATTAAAAGAGGAAATATTTATGATGAATATATCTTCTATATGTATATTGTCGTTGATAAGTGAAGATATCAAATATAATAATGTGAAGATAAAATTTAGTGGAAGTGATTTAAAAGCAATCACTATGTTAATAGCCACAAAATTGATGTGATGACTTTTGCCAATTGGATCTAATAAAGATCATATCCACGAATATAACAATTAAATAGTTGCAATGTTTATTTTATATATCTTTATCTTTATGTAAAAAAGCGCATTATATATCTGCATGATAATGTTTTCTTACTTGGTACGCTTTGTCCATTGTTGAATAGGTTGGTTGCATTACAAGATTGGTGCCACAGAAGGGCGTGCATCTTATTAGACATGCAATATATCGGACAATGGAGCTGGGAGGACAGTTTGTACTCTTGGGTTCAAGCCCAGTACCACATATTCAGGTCATTTTGTACTATCATGGCTTCGGTAATGATTGATGATTGATGAATAAAGAGGATAGATAAATAAAATTAAACAAAGTAATATGTTAATTACTTGGGACAATAAGAATTTCATATAAGTATGTAACCAACTAATTAGTTCCTTTACCTGTGGAGTCTTGGTTTTAATTCTTTTTTATTCTTTCATGGTTGAATTTTGTAGTCTAGCTAAGATCAACAAAAGATATTCAAGAATGGTTGTCAAAACATATAATATCTTCCTCTTATTCCATCAATGGTATACATTGGAATCTTCTCTTTCATTCCATATGGTATTTACCATTTAACTTCTATAAAAACAGCGAACAGACATGTTTGGAGGGATACTAAAGTGAATGATGCTCAAATTGAACTTAAAAATATTAAAATGAAAATTCCATAGAACCCTAGGCCATGTTACATAGCCTGTGAAGAATAGTATGGTGTACACTATGTACTTGATAAATAGGAAGTCATTCGTCACTTACCACATAAGAAAGGGAAATGATATTGACACTCCCTTGTGAGAGGCAAGAGATTATAAGAAAAAGAGGGTGACAGGCTAAAAGGCGTGTGATTGTCATTTTCTTATATAGAAAGGGTGATGCTAGAGACACTGTTATTCTTGTACGGTTCAATCTGGACCATTAGATCAGTGGTTGGTTTTAGATCCTTTGTGCTTGGATTGAATCCTATATGTTGTACATGGGAATTCCTTAACAATTATTCTAGTACTACAAGGCAAAATTGTATAATAGCAGCTAAAACTTCATGCTGAGGCCTTAGAAAAATAACAATAATATCAATATGCCCTTATTTGAATTTTCACCTCCTCCAAAGCAAGCTCCAAGCTTGGAGGTACTCCAAAGAGAAGAAAAAGATACAAATGACAAACATAGTTGAGAATCGAGTCTTTTATCTGGAAAGAGTTTAGCACAAATATGGACAGAGCGTAGAACACTCACCGACATTTTTTTTTTTTGAGAGAGAGAGAGGTGAGAGAGTTTCCATTCTTCCATCAATGGCTTCTCCATGATTTCAAGATGACTAGCCAAGTTTTTTTTCCATGTTTTCTACTTGAAGATGGAAGACCCAAGAATAGCCCAAAGAGGGCTTTGATGGCCCACGGTTTTAGGGGGAGGGACAGAGAGGAGTCCGATTTGGGAGGGGGTGAGGAGGGATTGCCTACCAATTTTTTTTTTTACATCAAGGAAAGAGGGAGAGGGACTAGGGTTTGGACTACTAGGGGGATGGAGAAGAGGGAGAGCTTTAGAGAAAGAAGGGGGAAATTGAAACACAAAATGAAAAATGGGGAGGGGTCATTTTCGGTTGACCATGGAGATGGGGGTAGCTCACTGTAAGTGTGGTAGGTAGAGTTGAATGTGTTAGGTGAGAGTTGAGTGTGGTAGGTAGATGTAAGTGTGTTAGGTGAGAGTTGAGTATGGTAGGTGAGTATGTTTTTCTCTTCTATATATAGGAGAGTCATTGTATACATTCAATATAACATTAATCAATAATACAATCAATTTTATACATTGAATTTTAACATGATATCAGAGCTATAGGTTAAAAGATCTTGGTGTTCTTCGCCTTCCGGTGGGCGGCAACCTTGCCTTGACCGCCCGCCGGATCTCAACCAATTCACACCATCTGCGCGGATTCCTCAACCCTTTGTCGGAGGAGAGAAAGAAAATGAAGCTGTCGGCGCTCCAGCAGAGCTACACCAACCGCCGGAGCAATAGCTTCAGAGGATCACCGCCGTTGGAGCCTTCAATCGACGGCGGATCCAAATCTCCGGCAGCGGTATTCTAGCTGGTCCTCCACGGCCTCTGCTGTCTCAAGTATGATTACAAGCTTTACATTTTCCAGAATAGAGGAGCCTTCAATCTCTGCAACTTTACTCAAGCTTCACTTCTTACCAAACCCAATTCCAACTCCTTCACTTGGCCTCCATCAAGAACTGGCACAACACCCCACTGTTGCTCAGAAGGTAGCTGGCCAGCTTCTTCTTAGATCAAGCCCAACTCAAGATCTTCAGGCATATGGGAGTGGTTTCCAACGACCTTCTATGTACCAAAGACAATTCCAATATGGGAATTACACAAATGCTGCTTTGAAGTTTCCCATGTTGCAGCCATGTCGAGCAACACAGGACTTTCTCCATGCAAACAAATGTTGAGTCCAACAGTTTGCACATTGTTCATCGCCGCAGCTACAGGCCCCGCCGTTGTCAATACTTCACCTCGGCCCAACGACGCATCCACTCTTGAGACATCACCACTGCTGCCGACCTATCTTGGCTACCCCCTGCTGTCCTTCTTGGTCGGCATCAGCCTTAGCTTGCCGATTTCCGTTTGTGCTGGTTCAATCCCTCTTAAGCTAGCTTCATATATTTTTGCTTATTCAAATCTGTGAATAATTATATGCTGCCAACTGGTGATCGATTTGTGTTCGTTTGATCTGATCCAATCCTTCACCCATCCTCTAAGCCGATCTACTTTTTCTTTTATTTATTTATTTTTTTACTTTTTCTGGTCTTTATCCCATATCCTCCTGTTCCTCACCCTTTATTTTTTTATTCTCTTTGTTCCCACCATGTCTCACCCACCACTCTGACCAAACACCACTGGTTTCCCACACTTCATTTTATTTATTATTATTATTATTATTTTCACAAAAAAAAAACTACATTCATTCCAGTTGATTTTTCTGCATTCCAACAACTTTGTTTTATTTATATTAGGGATCAACCCTGATCACAGTTCTCCACACCATACAAAAAAAAAAAAAAAACTACATTCATTCCAGTTGATTTTTCTGCGTTCCAACCACCTACCTTCGAGTTTGCAACACACACTTGCTTTATTCATATCAGGGATTACCCCGCTCACCATTCTACACCACAAAAAAAAAAAAAAAAAAAAAAAAAAACAAACAAACAAACAAACAAACAAACCAACCACACCCACAGTGGGATTTTTCTTCTCTACTCTGCTGCAGGTCTCTTCTTCTTGCCTTCGTCCTAGACGGCCCTTGACGGTGTTGCCTCCGTGTTTCCCACGCCACCGCGCACGTTCCCTCCCCCTTGCTCCTCCACTGTAGCATATGGCGGATCTCCAAATCGGAACATAGCGGTGGCCTTCCGCTTCAGTTCCTTGTTTTCCGCTTTTAGCACACATATCTCTGCTCGTGCATCCTTATACATGCGCTGGAGCAGAGCCAGTTGGGCGTTTAACTGCTGTACCTCATTTGTCCTACTCTGAAGCCGGTGCGACAAGTTTGTGACTGCAGTCATCGTCTCCACACATGACTTCAATGTATACTGATTCACCTCAATATCTGATTGCGCTGCCATTCTTTGCTCCACAGACCGCATAGGAAAGGTCAACGGAGCAAACTCAGGGGCGTCTCTTGTTGACTCGTTGAGGTCGGGAAAGAGAGTGGTAGCTGAACGGGAAGAAGAGGCCATGTTATGGGTTGCTGAGTGTTTCAGATGTTACAGAGTGTTTCAGGGTTTGCAGCTCTTAGAGACAAGCTCTCAGAGAACGAAGAGGTTTCAACTGGTTTGTTCTGCTTCCAAGCCTCAGGCCTCGTTTTGGTTTATATCGACAATGCCGAAGAGGACGCCACGACACTCTGTCGGTCACGTGCATCGCCGCGTGTCCGGCGCCCCTTTTGATGGCTCGACGCTTTCTGTCAGGCACGTCTTTTGATGAAGTGGGCGTGCCTTTTGAGGGCGCGACTTTTGAGGGCGCGACTTTTGAGGGCTCGATATATATCTACATGTATATCTTTTGGGCAGCCTATATACACACCCCGTAAACTGTCTTCTACATCGGTCCGACATGACCCCGTAAACTGTCTTCTACACCGGTCCGATATGACCCCATAAACTGTCTGCTACATCGGTCCGGCATGACTTCGTAAACTGTCCAGACATTATCTTCTCCAACAGTGTGACACGACCATAAGTGTCTCCTACAACGGTCTGACACGACCATACCGTGTCTCCTATCCTGTTTTATTTTATTTATCAGTTTACTTTCCTGCTTTGTTACTCTCTCCAAACTCAAGTTGGTTAGTATCTATCCTCCTTGAGTTTGAGGGGGGCTGTAAGTGTGGTAGGTAGAGTTGAGTGTGTTAGGTGAGAGTTGAGTGTGGTAGGTAGATGTAAGTGTGTTAGGTGAGAGCTGAGTGTGGTAGGTGAGTATGTTTTTCTCTTCTATATATAGGAGAGTCATTGTATACATTCAATATAACATTAATCAATAATACAATCAATTTTATACATTGAATTTTAACACTCACCAACCAGTCAAAGCCAAGGGAGAGGAGAGAGAGAGAGAGAGTGTAGAATACAATTTTAAATTCAAAAAGTAGTCTTCTATATACATACACAACGTTTATCTATGGACAGAGAAAGAGACTATTCAAGGAAAAGGTGACATAAAGTAAAGGCTAGGCTTACCCTACCCTAGGGTGACCAGCCATGCGGTTGAGGGTTCCAATTTTGTTTGTTTTGGTGTCAAAAAATACATTAAAGTGTGTATAAACTGTGTCCTCAAAAGTTGTAGGCAAACAAGGTACAAAAAAAGGTGTTGGGTTTTTTAACTATGATTAAAATACTAAGATAAAATGAAGTTTGTCAAGAAAAACGCAAACTGTGCCTCGCAAAGGCTAAGTGGGAAAATCATGCAGTCATGTCTTAGAAATTAACAAATAGACCTACATGCTATTAATAACATACAATAGAGTGTAACATGCAAAACACTTCATGCACATATACATATTTCAATTATGCTCATAATCAGGTCAAGTTTCATACAGTTCAATCAATCTCAAGAGAAAAATTCTACCCATATATATACTCAATAAATTACACATCATAATGATTAAAACATCGGTTAATTACATTTTACCCCCTTATAGTTTGGCCTGAAAAACACAACCTCTCTTTGGTTAAAAAATGTACCCATAACCCCCTTACAGTTTGGAGCGAAGTGTAACTCCTAACTTCCTTAACGATATTTACAAAAATGTCTATATTGCCCTTAATTCTTTATCTAGTTTTCTGTGTACCACTTTGTCTCTTCCTCTCTCTAATAATGTTTCAAAACTACTCTCTTTATCTCTCTAAGACCACACCGCCATTTTCCAAACTACCCATACTGCTCTCCATTCCTCTCACTCGTTAATTCTAGAGCCATGACTCACTCTTTTGATAACAGACCTGATTATTAGATTGCTTCAAAACTAGTTGGAATTGATTGGCACAAGCCTCCAAATCTACCTAGGTCAAATGCGAAATCCAGTTCCTATTTTCTGTGCCAAACATAGCCTGATATATTGCTATTACACGATATGTTCTTAAATATTTCTAGGATGGCTCCTTATATTGGAAGTTCTACCAATAAATCTTTACTTACTGAAATTGTACACTTGCCAATGGAGCTCTCCACCATACACACACACACACATACATGTTTTGGTGTGTACAGATATTAGATGGTGAAAATTTTGGGGGTGATGTTTCGGCTGAGGTGGGTTTTATGATTTTAGAGAGAGATGCTTGTTCATGTTTAAATTACAAATTTCTTAGCTTTGAATGTGCAATATAATTACAATATCCAATCATTACTTGGGTCTGACTTACTGTCACACATTATACTCTAAAGAAGAGAAAATTCCATTATTGCAAAAGATTTTTACCATACCTGTGTGAGAATATTGGGTTAGGTTTATATATATGGCAGTATTTCCTTTTCTAAGAGATTATATAGTTGTATATATATGGCAGTGTTTTAGGTGTATATATGGTAGTGTTTCCTGGTGGGGATGTATGAACCACAGCCAATTTGAATAAGAAGTTGGGTATACCCTTTGTTAAACAATTCCCGTTTAACCTCCGGAGTGTCCACCACTTTAACAAGAGTGTCAAAACAAGTTGTTCCTATAGTCACAAAAACTATCCTCTCGGGCTTTATACTATCATCAATATCTGCCATATATATATACACCTAAAACACTGCTATAGTAAACGTAACCCTAAGACTAAAAAGGAAACACTGCCATATATATAAACCTAACCTAATATTCTCACACTCCGGCTCAAACTCAAGGTGTTGTAGTAGAAAATATTGAGAATATGCCAAGAAGAAACTGAAACCGAGTAGTGGTGTGAGTCTTGATAAGAAAGTTAGCAAGTTGCAGAGACGAAGAGACAAAAGGAAGCGAGATAAAGCCAAATTACAGATGTTGACGGATAAAGTGACAATCAATCTCAATGTGCTTTGTTCGCTCATGGAAGACATTGTTATGGGCAATCTAAATAGCACTACGGTTATCACAATAGAGGGAGGTTGGAGAAGACTGAGGGACGCCCAAGTCAGAGAGAAGACAACGAAGCCAGACAACTTCAGTAGTAGAACGATTAACGACAGTTTGTTTCTTGCTTTTCTAAGAAATCAAAGAATCGCCAAGAAACATATAAAAACCAGAAGTGGGCTTACAATCTGTAACATCACCAGCCCAATCAGCATCAACATAGGCGACTAAAGCCAAGGAAAAAGTAGAGGACAACAGCAATCCTTGGAAGATAGTACCGCGAAGATAGCGAAGTCAGGATCAGGAACCGGAGTAGATGCAATATAAGCGGCGGGAGCTTGAAAATTACTCGAAGGAGAAGGGAAAACTGGGTCTGAGACTGCTGAGAAGACGCAGCAGACAGGCATCCCTTCTTGGGACAGCGATACTTCCAATGACCCTTCTGAAGTTACTTGGCAAGTGAGATATAATAGAAAAGATAACTTCTTAAGTTACTGAATTTGTGGGAAAACTCAATCTGACAGCCTTCTGTGATTTTGTCATTTTCATGGCTGATTACATGGTGACGTAATACATTTTGCAGAGACGGAAGTAGAATTTGTAAAAGGAGAAAGATAAGAGGACTTATATTCTGGTGACACGATCTTAAATGGAACCAGAACCAGGACCAGATCCAATCACGCCAATGCTTTTAAAAATTTGGATAGTGATTTGATAAGGATCGAGACCTTTTTGGCATGTTTGATTGGAAGGATTAGAGTATGGGATTGGGATTATTAATCCGCGGGCCCAATTATCCTATGTTTGTTTTGACATTTTGTTTAGGATTATCAATCCAATGGATAATTAATCCAACAAATTTGTAGCATTATTAGTAATAGGGTAGGGGTAGGATTGTGAATACCACACTAATTTGATTGGATTATTAATACTTCACTATTAATATTGTGGAATCAAACATGGCCTTTATGTATTGACTCAAGGACTGGTTATAACTTGATCTACTTTTAGAGTGTGATTATGTTATAAACAAATATCTATCATGAGAAATTCCAATAAGGTCTTTGTGAAAAAGAAAAAAGAAGGGTTGGAAGTTTTCTTGTTTTCAGGTTTTTTGATACAGTTGGAGTAGGCAGTTTCTTTTCAAATGACTGTTATGACTTGGATTGAAGATTCATTTGAATATATCATGCTCACAGAAAACTCTCTGACCGTGCTCAGGTGACTTTTTATCTGATTAGATCAGGATTCACCCTCATTTTATTATCCACATACACTCTGCTTAGAGATCCACCCACCAAATTATGCAGAGTTTAGCCATCCATTCATACTTTATGGAACTGTATTTGAAGAGAGCACAAATTTTGAGAAGGCATGGGTCAGTTTGCTGATATTTATTAGACTCAATGAACTTTTGTGGTGCCATCTTAATGTAAAGTCTTCATTCTTTGAAAAAATTGCTTGAGATAATGTGTGATCTGTTCATTTTACTGCAATTGGACCCCTCACCAAATGATAAAATTCCCTAGATAGCTGTATATGTTCCATCAGCAGTCAGCACTGACGAATATATGCTACAGCATTTCTTGTGCAAGTTCTTTGTTTGAAATTTGCCTTATGTATATATATATATATTCTTTTGGATATTTTGTTGCTTGTTGAACATTAAATATGATGTGAGGTATTAGGTTTCTAGTATATTTCTAGGGTTTTTAGGATTTTTAGGGGTTTGAGGTCTCCATAAAAATAAATGAAAATTTAAATTTTAGATTAGGGTGTTCAAAGTGATGGGGTGCCCAATATAATTTTTGGAGGGCATTTAGAGCCACCCATAAATATATGTTTCAGTGGAGTGTGTTTACTAGTTAACCTAATTTTTGTTCTCTCTGACTCTTCTCTTTCCTCTTCTCTCTCATTCCAACCCTAATCTTGTATATTCTATTATCTAACTATAAGCTTGAGAAGAAGAAGTTTGGAGATTACTGGGCAAGTGAGATATAACAGAAAAGATAACTTCTGAAGCTACTGAATTTGTGGGAGAACTCAATCTGACAGCCTTCTGTGATTTTGTCATTTTCATGGCTGATTACTTAGTGTTGTAATACATTTTGCAGAGACGGAAGTAGAATTTGTGAAAGGAGAAAGTTAAGAGGACTTATATTCTGGTGACATAATCTTAAATGGAATCAGGACCGGATCCAATCACGGCAATGCTTTAAAAAATTTGGATAGTGATTTGATAAGGATAGAGACCTGTTATGTTTTGATTCAAGGACTGGTTATAACTTGATCTACTTTTTGATTGTGATTATGTTATAAACAAATATCTGTCATGAGAAATTCCAATAAGGTCTTTGTGAAAAAAAAAATATGGGTTGAAAGTTTTCTTGTTTTCAGTTTTTTTGATACAGTTGGAGTAGGCAGTTTCTTTTCAAATGACTGTTATGACTTGGATATAAGATTCATTTGAATATATCATGCTCACAGAAAACTCTTTGACTGTACTCAGGTGACTTTTTATCTGATTAGATCAGGATTCACCCTTATTTTATTATCCACACACACTCTGCTTAGAGATCCACCCACCAAATTATGCAGAGTTTAGCCATCCATTCATACTTTATGGAACTGTATTTGAAGAGTGCACAAATTTTGAGTAGGCATGGGTCAGTTTGTTGATATTTATTAAACTCAATGAACTTTTGAGGTGCCATCTTAATGTAAAGTCTTCATTCTTTGAAAAAATTTGCTTGAGATAATTGTGTGATCTGTTCATTTTACTGCAATTGGACCCCTCACCAAATGATAAAATTCCCTAGATAGTATATGTTCCATCAGCAGTCAGCACTGACGAATATATGCTACGGCATTTCTTGCGTAAGTTCTTTGTTTGAAATTTTCCTTATGCATATATATATATTCTTTTGGATATTTTGTTGCTTGCTGAACATTAAATATGATGTGAGGTATTTTTTCTTTTGTAAATTTTCTAATTTTCATGAACAATATGGCATTGATTTACATCCTTTTCAGTTCTAAAACTATACAAATCATACAGTATCACTTTTGGATTGTTTAATATATGTTACTTTACATTGATTTAGATCCTTTTTAGTTAAAGTGATACAAATCATAAAATATAATATATGAAGCGCCCAAAAGCCAGTTTGTATCCATACCTCTTCGGCTTCCCTTCTGGTTGATGACCAATCCATCATGAGGAAAGCTCATGGAATGTCCTTTTACATTTAGCAGCCAAGAGTGTGCTTATCATGCTTATGCCTGGTGTGTTTTAAGTCTGAAAATTGAATGAGTTGAAGTTTTATCTGAATGTTAATGCTTTATCATGATTTTATCAGAACCTTCGTGCTTTATCATACTTGATTTTACTTCATTAGTATACTAATTGTGTCAACTAAAAAAATAGCCACTTCCCAATTCTTCCTTTCTGGCTTTATTATTTTTCCTCTCTGTTTAATGTGTCAACTGTGAATTTAAATGTTCTGTCAACTGATGAGGCTGATGTTTTTTTTGCAGAGAGAATTCGAAGAAATTGCGAACCATTTTCAGAGTCACAAACATGTTCGGTTAATATTGAAGTATGATGAGTCTCTTTCCCACTTAATTTTTGCAGCATCTGACATGTTCATTATCCCATCTATCTTTGAGCCTTGCGGCCTTACACAGGTATTGGAAAGGCAAGAAAACAAGAACTCCTGAATAGAAATCAACTTGAACAAACAACAACAACAATAATAATAACAATTTAAAGGTCTTCCGTTTCATGTTCATCTGCATGTTTTCACTTTGGAGCCAGCCTTGTTTTGTGAACAAAGAAAAACATGTGCCAATGTTTTGTGAGTTCAATTTTTTTTTAACAGAAATACAAAATCACGAAACAAAGCATGAATCAAATAAGCCCTAAGTTACCAAACCTCCTGCTAATAAATTTAGAGCCAAGTCTTTTTTCTTTCCTTTTTTTATGGGTGGTTTTTAACCGATCCTCCTGCATAGATTTTATTTCATGTAAGCACCAGCATGTATGCATAAAAGAAAAAGAGAAGAAAGGGAGATAGTTATTATACAAGCAGCTTTCATTGTTGAGTCTGATTTCTTTACCTAGAGCTAACCCTGTGAAGCAAAATCCCACATCGCATGAGTACTAAAGTAATGTTAAGCATATAAGCGTAAGGGGACTCTCACCTTAATAACTAGAGTTGAAGTGTAAAAGTATGGAAAACTTTGATTAGGGCTAGAGAGAAAAAGAGAGAGAAGGAAGAAGGAGAGGATTGTATATATTATTAAACTTATATTTCTTGGTTCCTTTCATAAACCTAAAACATCAGCAAATATAGATAATACAATATGACCATAGTACCCTCACTCAACACAAAAAATAACATATATCACTACATATTCTTACACTCTCCCTCAAGCTGGAGCATAGAGATCGAACATACCCAACTTGGCAGAGAGACGCTCAAACGAAGAACGAGCAAGTAGTTTGGTGAAAATATCACCCAATTGATCATCAGAGCGAACATATGGTGTCTCAAGTTACTGACGCAACAACAAATCCCATATAAAATGACAGTCAACTTCAATATGTTTCGTACGCCCATGAAACACGGGGTTATTGGCAATGAAAATAGCAGCTTGATTATCACAACTCATGCTCATAGGAGTAAGAATACGAATACCAAAATCCTGCAGAAGATAATAAACCCATAACATCTCAGAGGCGGTATGCGCTATAGTACGATATTCAGCCTCAGCACTCGAACGAGCAACAACTGGCTGTTTCTTGCTATGCCAAGTAACTAGGTTACCTCCAACAAAGGTGCAACATCTAGATGTAGAAAGTAAACTGTGACCTGGAGCACATTTGAGATAATGCAAGATTCGACACACAGCATCAAAATGGGGTTCACGAGGAGCATGCATAAATTGGTTAACAACACTCACAGCATAAGTGATATCCGGACGAGTGATGGCAAGATAAATCAATTTCCCAACTAAACGACGTTACCGACCAATATCAGGAAACATCTCTCCGTTCTCACTATCAAGTTTAACCGAGGAGTCCATAGGAGTATCTGTGGGACGAGTGCCCAGCAGTCCAATTTCAGCAAGAAAATCAAGAACATACTTGCGTTGAGAAAGAAACAAACCCCGATAGGAGCGAGCAATCTCAATCCCAAGAAAATACCGTAGATTACCCAAGTCCTTTGTGTGAAATTGCTTACCTAAATAAAGCTTTAGATCAGCAATACCAACGGAGTCACTGCCAGAGATGAGGATGTCGTCCACATAAACAATGAGAACAATAACCCCAGGAAATGAGTGGCGAACAAAAACAGAGTGATTAGAAGTGGAATGGCGGAACCCATATGCAAGCACAGCAGTACTAAAGCGATCAAAGCAAGCACGGGGAGATTGTTTGAGACTATACAAAGCCTTCCGTAACCGACAAGCCATATGCTCATCACCAGGAACAAAATAGTTAGGGGGCTGATCCATATAGACCTCCTCGTTGAGATCGCTATGAAGAAAGGCATTCTTTACATCGAGTTGATATTAAAGCCAAGACTGACTAACGGCAACAAAGAGAAGAATCCGAACAGAATTAAGGTGAGCCACAGGGGAGAAGGTCTCCAGATAATCAACGCCATAGGTTTGAGTATAACCTTTGGCCACGAGACAGGCTTTAAGCTGCTCAACAATATGATCAGGAAGATACTTAACAGTATAAATCCACCGACAGCCAACAACAGGCTTCCCAAAAGGAAGAGGTGTAAGTTCCCAAGTCTGATTCTGATGAAGAGCACTCATCTCCTCATCCATTGCATGTTTCCAACTCGATATCGACATAGCCTGCTCATAAGAAGATGGAATAGAAAGGCAAGACAAGCTATATGCAAAGGAGTGAAAACCAGGGGCAAGACGAGCATAAGAAACAAAATTAGAAATAGGATGCTGAGTACAAGTACGTTTACGTCAGTGCAATGCAATAGGTAAATCATCATCAGATGGCACAAGTAAAGGAGGGGCAAGAACCTCAGACACAGAAGATGAAGTAGCCAGGCCAAAAGAATCCACGCAACGGGCTTGGGACTGCTGATAAACTTGTAGAAGAGAACATTTATATCTTATCACCTGGTAAGTTCAAACCCACTTAGGATTTATCATCTTATCACCTATTCAAAATAAGTGATACCTATAATTGAATATATGCTCATGTGGATGCACCCGATGAACCCATGCAACATCTCCCACGCATACGTGATGGGCATCTAACATGTCATCTAAGGAATCTCTCGATCATATTCTCATTTTCATACAGGAAAATGGAATGTGCGACTAGTCAAGAAAGGTACAAATGAGTGTTATATTAAGTCACCATCTAACTAGCATGACACTGTAACTCAATATCTCATGTATACCCAAAATCACCTAACTACATAAGTGTCTAAGGAAAGATCATTTGATATCACACTAATAATTTGTGCTTCATATAGCCTGGACAATTGCGTCAATAATAGTTTGTCGACACAATGATGAGCACAAATGCATTAAGAGGTCTTCCATGGCTCTGTATTGATTACAAGAAGGATTAGAGGTGCTACTGCTTTCCTTGACAAACTCCTTTGGACCACGTGACTATAATGACCCTTCGATAACATGCTTAAGTAGCACCATCAAGCCTCAATTTCATGACATAGTTCTAAGTCACAAAGGGTACAACTTAAGTTTGTTTATTTGGGAACAAATAAAAAAGCCACCTCTTTTTTTTTTGAATTTTTTTGTCTTTAGTGACTTTTTTCAAAATTTTGTTAAATTTTTTTTCTTTTCTAGTTCATCTTTAAAAATAAATAAATAAATAAATAAATAATTGAAAAGGCCAAAATAAGCTTAAAAAAGCCAACTATTTTTGGCTTATTTTTGTTTTTCCTGGACTTTCTTTCAAAAAAAATTAAATTTTCTAGTTCATTCTGTCGAGTAGAATCCAAAAGCCTAAAGCTTTTAAAAATAAAAAAATTCACTTCAGACAAAAATAAGACAATAAAAAGGTCACCAAAAAAGCAAATCCCAAACACCTCAGCTCACACAACGATGAAGCAGGGATCCATTTTGTCTCTCTCCATCACGGTCATCCTAAAGCACATATAGTATGATATGTATGCTATGGTGGAACTGTCATGACCCCAACCTGTCCCAAACAGGATGGTGTTACGACCATCCAGTAGTCATGGATTACCAAAGGCCTAATTTACAAAACAAGTCGGACTCCAGCAATAATTGGGGCAAAGTTTTTCTTATTTTCAATTGCGGAAACCATTAATTTCTTTAATTGAGTCCATTTGACACATCCATACAGGGCAATGCATAATTATATGAAATGAAAGCATACATTCCTCTTGGATTGCTATCCTGTGTTATTATAAGGTCCAAACAAAGAAAAAGTAAAGCACGTCACTTGGGACAAAACCTTACAAAACCAACACAAATATATGCAAGACTGACTTCTAAGCGAACTCCTCTTTATAATCGTGCTCTTCATTACCTACATATATATATATATATATATAAGGGAGAGGGCTAAGCCGTTGCCCAATGAATAGTAATATAGTAAAGTGGTAAATGAATGAACATCGATAAGATTTATAAAACATAGCATGAAATCATAGCTTGAACATAGCTTAACTTGAGCATGATTGACTTGCGAATATTTACATAGAGATGAACATTCCGAGGGTTTTAAAAGTGAATAACCAGCCGAGTACCAGCTAGTCAATCCACCCGAAGGTGGCAAGAGGGGCTCGGCCATCAAGAGGTTATTGGCATGAGTCCCCCAATAACTAGGACACATTCCACAGGTGTCCTCTTCATACATGATACAAGAATATATGATGTTCATTCATAGCAAAACAATAGCATAGCTTTCATAATCATAGAATAGGTTTTGCATTTGAATCATAGTTTCTCAAATGTAGCTTTACTATACTACTACTCACAAATCGCTCTTGGACAAAGGGTTTCTCCTCCAACGTGCTTGTCCTACACAAAGCACGAACAAACCATTGAAAACAACTTTACTTGCAAGTCCTTAAATCAATTTGAATGCTCTAACTTAACTTAGTATTTCTTAATCCCTTTCTTAGATTGTTCAAGGCTTATCTAAGCTTAATTCAAGTCCTAAACAAGTGTAAATCAAATGTCAAATGCATACATGGAAGTGTCCCAAGTGTTTGAGGCTTGAAAAACTTGAAAGTGTGCAAAAACAGGGGTGCCGCATGTGCAGGGATCAGGGCTGCACATGCGGCCTGGTGCAGTGTCAAAATTGTGTTGCTGAAAATGGGGCCGCATGTGCGGGAATGGCTGTTCAAGTGCTGCTCAATCCTCTCTTGTTCTAAGCTATCTTTCTCAAATTCAAGACTTGGGACCTTGAAAACATAGTACAAAACATCTAAAATTCATAGAAAAACAAGGAATCATAATTCTTTTCAAAGCTACAACATCAACATATGATTTATTTCAAAGTGTTAAGATAAACTTAGGTTTTTGCTAAGAAATTCATGAACTCAACTTCCTATTGAAACCCTTCTTTTTCTTTCTTCCACAACATGAAATTAAGCTTGTAAAACTCTTGAAAATTATAAGAAAACATGAAGACAAAAGTTTCTTAC